TTTCTAACTTTGTTTTGTAATATCTGTAATTGTAAGATCATTTTGGAATTTTTTGTATGAAAATAACTCCACACACTGGATTCCTTCAGATGTACAATTGTTGCTTTTTTAATTGAATATGAGATAACATTAATTGTATTTTATTGTAGCATTTATTTTCTTATGTTTTTGGATTTGTTACGACCCACTTTTAGTCAAGATAAAGTTGTCTTAAACCAGGTGCAGAGACGTACAATAAACTAATTGAAAAGAATGAGAAAACGTTAGCGAAGATAGATTACAATACTTGGGAAATTTATCGACACTCTATAGAAGAATAAGAGTTGACCTAATAGAGCCGCACAACTTATCTAGTATACCATGTTACCTCAGCAAAATTATTCGGTTAGAAACTCATTACCGCATTCCGTAAGGCAACCTATAAAAAATTGACGAACGTCCTAACTATTTTTACTATGACGCTCAGTACAGTTTTTAATTATCAATCAGATAAGGTTACTAAATTCTTCAAGAGGAGAACTGACATCATGTACTCAACCATGGATTATTATCTGCTATTTTGGATGGCTGTACCTAACTCACATCTCGTAACCTATTTAATATTATCGTGAACTTATTCTCACCTCATGTTTTACCGTTTCCGTTTCCGTTTATTGCTACACTTGTATCGGTGAACAAATCCCCGAAATGAATATCTCTGAAAGTCTTCGACATTGAAGCTGAATTAATTAGTTCCATTGCACACAGATAGCTGAAGACTCTCAGTCACGCATCCGCACCAAATCACGAATAAATACGCCATTCTACTTATCACCTGTAACAACAAGCCAGATTAGATCGGATGCTACTAAACATATTGATAGCCTTCCAAATATATCTTATAAGCGCTTCATTTCTGGCTTCCGATCTAACTGGGTTTGCATCCTTCGATTATGTAAGTGAGACGTGCAAATGTGTTGTCCAACTCCGAACACTTATGGAATATTTACAAATTTGTTTACTCACTCCGGATTTGTTCCTTAGTTATTGATTCAATTACTTGTTTAGACGGCCGACCTTTAGCACTTTTATATTTGAATTGCTTCTGCAATCACCACAATTAACCAACGTCTTGTCTGGTGGCGCTCGTACAGACATGGAAATAATAATACGAAGACATAACAAAATGTTAGTGTTTGAATAACACTTACTGTTTAATAGGTTATTTGAGGGCCTGATAAGCTGAACGTAAACAAAGTCGTAGTAGAAGTGATAAAAGGTTGGAAAAAGCCATCGCGGGAAATGTTATTAGGAACAACACTGCTAGGTCATTTTATATAACCTCTTGGTCTTAATAATAATCTTCATTCTGAAAACAATAATCACAGAATTCACGTCAGAATGATTTAGATTATAATATTAAATATAGGGGACATATAAATGATATCAGATTTTTTGTGATGTTCCAGTTCGAAAGTTGTTTAGTTAGCACATTTTTAACATGCATCATCGCAACCGAAGACATCTCCCGCGAACTTATATTCTTTTTAAGTGGATATCCTGTTAATGCATGAACAGCGGTAGTTTCTTGCGCCACAACCTATTGATTATAACCAACTACAAGTAAAGAAAATAAAGCGGAAACATAGAGCATGGAACAGAAACGGCAGTAATTATTAAGATAGGTTAGTAAGGTTTATCATGATACATATGTCAGATTGTCTATAATATACTATTCGTGTCAGATATTGTAATCATTTGTGTCGAGTAATTTGAGAACTCCTAGAGTGAGACAGGCCTTGCGCAACAAACAAACTAGCTCCAAATTCACACCTCGTGGACAGCACCAAACGTGGATTACCCTTTCGTAGTATCAAGGCATTATAGTTGCTTTGAAGACCGCATAACTCAAAGGACGTTGTTACAGAAATATATTAGTCAGAGTAAGTACAATGAAGATATTGCGACCACCACCGCACGGGCCAGTCTATGACATGCGATTAAATGAAGTGCGTTAGCTGTTTTTGGACTCGAAGATGACCGGTGAACTGTTCAACATTCAGTGGCTTGACTACCGAATAATTTGACTAGGGTACATTGAAACTTCACTGTTCTTCCTCGTTATTCAAATTAGTGATAGTTGCTGAAGATGGTCTAAGGGTAAAGTAACCGTGGTCGGTAGGCTTACCTGGTGGATTAAGCAATAAAAATGACTAAATATTAAGGGTCCCTATAGTCTCACTTGTAGAATGAGATATGTTTACAGGTGTAGGAACATTTAATGCATTCACTGAAGTAACGTAAGAATCAGTGCACTGAATTAAGAGTAGTGGTGACTCTGTGGAATTATGATCTACTTCGTCATTATTACTGCTCTGATAATAGGCCCAATCCTAAGGCTGTAGAATTGTCTTGATGTAACTGCCTAATCTACATGATCTTATGTGGAAGTCACATCATTGTCTACACTGACTCATTGAATCATAACAATCACAAATACATGATAGAGAACACATTTGGGCTGGAAGTAGAAAAATATATTTAATATGGATAAACGTTTATCTACGTTGGTGATCTACTACCTTATCATTGGTGGTATGATTTGAGTTAAATGATGCATTATGGACGCATGTCCATCCACTATTACCTTTGTTCCGCTGCCAGTGCAATTTTTAGGGCCTTTAGGCCATCTTCCTGTGTTCCATTCTGATGCAGTTTCCTTGCTGTTCAGCTCATAAGTTAAAATGAATACTTTAAGATCCTCTGTATGTAGAAGAGGTTAATCCATGCAAGAGCAGTCGCAAATATCATTATTGTGAACTAAAAGAATTGAAGGGATTAAGAAATTATCTAATATTACCCCACTATTGTCCGTGACGGCATCCGACAAAGAGAAGTATGATTATTTGTTTTCGGTGAATAAGGTAAGGATTAAGTTAAACAGGTAGGGTTTTTTGACTTCGTATGGCACTAGTTTGCTGATAAGACACTGATAGTTATTATTGTCAAGAACTTTAGAAATATCGAAGTATAGCACTAAGACTAAATAAACTCGGTTAAGTTGATTAGAGACAAATTTAAGAAAATCAGAGTGGCAGGTCATTCAAGATCGAATTTTAAGGAACTCAGGTTGATAATCATTGATAAATTTTTCAGTGAAAATATATAGACAAAGATTTTGTCAACACCAATTCTTTTCCATAGTCTTACAGACAACTGGTGTAAGATTTATGGGCTGAAAATTTGCAATATTAGTCTTCACTCTTGAGTTGTAGCGTCGTATGATATATGCGGATTTCCAACAATTTCGGTAAGTATCTAACTCCATAGAGGGAATGTGAAAGAATTAACAGCTTTAATAGAAATGGTGGGGTAACTAGGTCACTATATTTGTAGATAAAAGATGAAATCCCGTTTACTCGATTACTGCTCGAAATATTTGGGGGAGTTTTTAAGACATTGTAGATGATCTATGTCGAAATGATTGGAGGCCTACTCGAGTTAGAAGTGAATGGTGTGACGAACCAACTAACGTCGAAGTCACACCTCGTGGTCAGCACCTTACGTGGACTACCCCATTGACGTATCGAGGTACTATAGATGCTTTGAAGACTGTACAACACAAAGGACGTTGTTACAGAAATATATTAGTTAAAGTAGATACAAGCGAAGGTGAGACCACTACCGCATAGGCCAGTTCATGGCATACGATTAACTGATGCGCGTTGGTTGTACATGACCTTAGCAGAGAGTGATGATCTGTTCGACATTCAGTGATCCAACTCTCGGATGATTTGGCTAGGGCTTGGTGACATTTCGTTGCCCCTACAATACTCCCCGACTAGATTCAATGGCCGCCTGAATCGGCACCAAACACGTTTGGAGTAGTTGCGCGCCGTAGATTGCCAAACGATTAATATAAACTCTCCCGTTACAGCCGAGCTGTAAAGCGAAATGGAAAGTAGGTGGTAGAAACTGATCGGGAAAACAGCGAGTGATACTATGTTAGTGCGACATTGGATAAACGTAAGGCGGTCAACCATAGAAGAAATGAAGAGAACAAAACGTTTTGTTGTTCTATCAGGTCGCGCTGAATTATATAACCTTGACAAATAATTGAGTTCCTCCGATGAGAAACGCTAAGTTTGCCGCAAGAGTAATGATGCTATTGTGATAGTAGGATAAGTGTATTATCAATCGATGCCAATGTCTATACTGCCATTGATTTTAAGTTCAATGTCAGACAATGTCGTTGACAGTTTCTAGTTATATCTATGTCTAACAGACTAACCGTAACTACAGAAGTATAACCGTGAAGAGTGGTCATGTTTTCGTTGTGCGAAGCTATTAATCAACTTGTAGTAAGAGTTTGAAAAGTCGATGACTGCTGTTACAGTCAGTAAGGGTCGAAAACTACAAATTAGCAGCAAAGGTGGCACTATGAAGTCTCTAAAAAATGATAAACGGTGAGTGCTACTTGCTTGTTCGATTAGTGAACAGGAAAATGTCAAAAAGAACATAAGAAACCAAGGGTGTCACTCTGAACTCGTGCCAATGAAACCAGTGAAAAACGCTGTCAGTGTTGGTATAAAGGCGACAATGTCGTTCCCAGTTGGCAGGAGACTCGATCGACTGAATAAACTGATGATTCACGCGAATGATATTGTCTTCAGACCACCAATTGAACTGGACAGGTTGTAAATCGTCGAGTATTTGAACAGCCGATTAATGTACCGAATTCATCTGTCAGATAACAACTACGAGGAAACAGTACTTCATGAAATGAAGTACGACATCGAAGTAGAATAACCACAATAATTCGGATGTAGTATAAAGTCACTGGCCCTACAATATATTAAGCAAATAAATCAATACATCTTAAGTAATGAGGAAATATAAATCACCTATACTTTTATTATTAGTAAGTCAGATTTGTTGGACTTCAAAATAACCACAACCACTTTCCTGTACATTTAAATCATAATATTGGATACAATGCATTGCTAAGGTTTGTTATAACCACTGACATTGTAAATTGTTTTTAGGTCGTTAGTAATAACGTCACCCCGCTGTGTTCGTAAATGGATGAACTTGGTTAGTATTTTAATGACTTTACTAAAGTGACCTTTTAATGAAATTGGGAATTCACAAGTTATTTTATAAAATTTGATTTGTTTTACAGATAGTCTGCTAAATGAGTTGCACCAAACGAATCAAAAAATCTTACAGAAAAATAATGCTTTCAATTCATCCTCCGAATGCAGTAATACTGTCACTCATGTAACGAAAATAAACGAACAGACTGAGTCAGACTACACTGTTCTTGATCCAGGACAATGTGAATCTGGACAAGCCATTAGTCGGAACGGTGATCGTTCGAGTTCTTCACAACCAGATAGCGTTCAAGATCTCAACAAAATGCTAGCTAGTCTTGACAACTTTGATTACTTCCATATTGATCAAATTCCACAAGCATGTCTTGGGTGTAAGTTGACTAGCAAACGAAACTGAATAGATTTACGCCGATTTTGTTAACGATAATCCCAAAGTGTTCATTATATTAGTGCTAGTATTTAATCCTACTCATTTTTTACTTTTAATTTGGTCCTTCATAAATTAAACATGATGACTTTTTACGCATACAGACTGTTTCAATATGTGTGTTTGATTAGCGTGTTTACGCGAACAATGTGAGAATAATCCACAAGATCCTACTTATCAACCCCATCAGTGGTGAAGACCTTTGCGTATGTTGTTATTGTTTACTGGCTGGTTGAATTCAAAGTTTAACGCTTTTACACAAGATAAGTTTGCTAGGAGAACACTTATATTTGATTTTTTTAGTAACATCTTTAATTTATTTAAGTGCTTAAAGGGCATCTCTAAGGTATTGGTTGATACTCACACAATTTATTTAAAATTTTCTGCCCAAAGTTTTACTCATAGGCAAAAATTTCTGGCAACTGTGTACAATGAGGGGCGTGGTGGATATTTTACTTTGATAGTAGTGTCATTGGAACTAACAGAAAGTAATAGCGAATGGCATTCAGTCAAACGTCGTAGCCGTATAACAATTAAACGCACCTGATGCACTCTTGTTCATCTGGATGGTCATTTTAAACGTACCTGTTTCATCCATCATAGCTGGCGTTCAAATAAGTTTTTCTCTCTTAACGATTTCTGTCCTATTTTCTGTTGTTATTTGAGATATCATTCTTGAGATATATGAAAATCAATTTTAAAATGGTAAACATTGATGATAACTCAACAGGATAAAATATTTTCATACATTTTTGAAGTTATTAGGTCTTCCTAATCTAATTTTTCAAATATTTGGAGTTATGTTTGTTTAATGGGCTGAATAATTTTGTCCGGATGATATTCTGCTTAGCGGATGGATCATAGTGTACACTATCCCGTTTAGCCATTTTCTATGGACTCAGATTCTTGTCTGCTTTGATTGACTTGCTTCCTATAGTTGAAATCCCCCTCTCTCTCTGTGTGTGCATATACATTTTTTATTCGCTATCGGTATTCTGATCACGCCAACTTTCAAATATCAATAGTATACGTTTGTTTCTATCCTCAAATATAGAAATATCATGTGTTTATTGTACATTATGCTTTTAATATTTATTTTAATATGGTAGAGGTTCATTCGTCAACAAATTCTTTAGACTGTTCAAGATTAAGCAGTCTTTTCGTTTCAGTCAACAAATTTATTCTTACTTTAGTTTTTACAATCTGCCTAGAGAACTTTTCATAAGGTGTCATGCACATAACCTTTTGGTGGTAATCTTGTGGGAAATCATAGGTTTGAAATGTTTGTGTATAGTTGCATTTGCTATGATTACATACACGCACATCATCATATTTTTCATAACGTACGTGTCAGTACTTACCGAGAAATTGTTTTATCGTTTTCATTGATTAGCATCTTGAGACACTGTGAGAATTATTATGTTTATATCATAAAACCTCGAGTGCTGAACAAGTACACCAAAATTTAAGCGTATGTAATTTGTAACATCCTGAAGTAATTTTAAGGACGTTTATATGAATTATAAGTAGCTCCTCTTTAAAAAAATTCATTCAACATCGTTTTTGTAATTTTCTTAGAATTTTAAAGTTACTATTTCAGAAATTCACGTCTTCTGTGTAACATTTAGTAATGTCGGATGTTAACCAATTTGTACTTTATTTATCTCAATTTTCTCCATCTTAAATGCATTCCGTACATTCAATAATCAGCAAAGTAAATGGCTTAAACTATACACACGAAACATAGCTTGTGATTTTCAATCGCTGAGTGTTGATTACTATGTTTACTCAACAAAATCGTATATTTATAATTTCACTCACAAAGTGTGAAATTATTTTACTTGCGATTAATTTTAAAAAGGCGAATTTCAAAATAATGAAAAGCAGTCATTGGAAATTTTGTATTACATCAAACTTTTAAACCACATGTATGCTTACACTGCGTTTTTATGATTTATATGTAGAAATGCATCGTATTTCATATCCAGTAAGCAATCTTCAACATACGTACACTCAGTTATCACTCAAAGTATCAGCTATGCATTTAAAACTGTTTGAAATGTAACTCACACTTAAAGGCATTCGTTTGAGATATAATATGACTTAAAAAAGGGTAGTTCTCAATACACATCCACATTATAACAATCTTGATGAATCAAATATAAGTTAATTACATTGGATACTAAACGAACGACGAGTCTGACACATTTCAAATCAACAGAGTAAAAACTGGAAAAAAAGATAGATCAATCACACTGATCGGTCATATTGTTGACATTTATAAGCTTGTGATATTTTATGATTTATAATCAGTCTAATTTACCTTGTCGTTTCTCTTCGTCCATCAGTTTTTACCATTAGGTTGTGGTACCATTGGTTTTTAAAAAGTGGTTCTTGATTTGTTATGAGAACCACTTTACTGTAATCAAACAATTAAAACTATTTTATCCACGAGAATTAGAAGATTGAATAATTTGTTACATCGTTCGACTCAGTTTTCTTTCATATGTAGTAACTAATACACTTTATCTTTTCAACAAGTCATATCTGTTGTCATACATAATATTGCAGTGACTCACCAAATATTTTAAATATTTGAGTATTTATGATCACTGAAGACTTTATAATTGCTCTTATCTGGATACCCAGTATTCACTGATTGAATGATATTTTTATCATTAATGTCAGTTTACATTTTATAATTTGTCAAGATTAAAGTCAAAATTGTGAATAGTTTGCTCTTATCATTTCATTTTTAGTGAAAATTGTTTCCTTTTTTCTTCCATATAACTTCACTAGATGGTCAAAGTGAAAGAGGTCAGTTACATGCAACTTCAAATTATCATACAAAGTAAGCTTTATTTCCATAAATTTATTTACAATTTAGAATATAATTTCGTGATGCAGATAATTTGGTTACTTCGAAAAAATAAGTATAAGTTATCTCATTAACACCAACCTTCTCAGTTGTCTGAATAATATTGATCGTTATGTAACCAAAATTAGGAGTGAAATTTAAAGCACGAACGTATATCTGTTTTTTAAAAAAAGTAGATTTCTACTTTGTTGCTCTAAATTTATATTTCGATTTAATTGAAATAGTTCTACTTCATTTTTTCAAAGATTTGTAATATAATATTAAAATTCACGGTATTTTACATTCCTCTAAGATTGAAATATTAACTATAAGGTAACATGTTCACATTTTGTATGCCTTTCCTATTTTGTGGCGTCTTTGTTTATCAACAAACGTAGTTTATAACGATGAAAACGTTTATATGTGCTTATTTAAAATCAGCCCACGATTTATAATGTAAACGCTTTTTCAAAGGTAGTGTTGAGTATAGAACCACAGAACTGTACTTTACATCGTAGTAAGAATTGTAGAACATTCACAGCTTGTCTGTGGTCTTCAACACGTTTTGTGAACTGATATTGAAAGTATATTTTGGATACTATACGTTTTATGTACTTTTTGAATGTACACTTGATAAAACTCGATTGAACATATCTTATAACTTTCATGTAATTGAGATGAAACTTTATTAAAGCTTGATAACACGGTAAAAGATTAGTGGCAGGCAATTTTTTATCCTCTTTCGGCCATGAAAGTAAACTGGATTTATAAACAATTGTTATGTATCAAACAACTTTTATTAGTCTTGAGAATCGTTGGTGGATTATAGATTGGACTAAATAACGCTACGTGAAGGACTAAATTGAGGCTCGCTGATTGACCATTTCCTAGCCAATTAGCGCTACTGGACAATGGGACAAGACTCTAGAATCTTCTCTTGTAAAATTATAAATAAACTAACGTTTTACTCATTATGATTCATATCTACATTCAATCTTTTTTACTTGGAATATAATTACGTTTTTTGTCTTACTGTGTTTTTATTTGGGGACTTGTCAAACGAAGTTTTGTCCGAAGAATGTTAAGCAATGAGAGTAGCTGTGTTGTACGAAGAGAAATCATAAATTAGTTAGTCGAAAGCATTTTAAACCAGGAGTGCACCAATAAAATAAAGCCGTCTTTGATTGCTGCAAGAATGAAGAATATATGTAAAATGATCAAAGGGATAAAAACGCTTAGTTTACATTCCAACCAGTGATTAAAAACGATAGTTGATTTTTAAGATTAAATATCTTTTCATAAGTCAATAAGTCGTTTATCTTTCAAGCAGCTTAACCATACAGTTTATACATATGAAACAATCAAGTTTCAGATTGAAAAATGTTACAGTTCACAAATGATATAACAGTTTTTTGTCGATGAATAATTATTCAAAACGGTATTTTATTCGTAGCAATAGATTAAACTTGTTTATAAGTCATTAGTCATGTGAAGCTGTGAATAACTTTATGACATTAACATTGTTTCCGCCTTTTCTGTTCTCATCATTCAAATTTTGGTTTTTTATCCATTCTGTTTTCTTCATTTTCATCAATTCAATAAACACTAGATATGTGATTTTTTAAAAATCAATTTTAAGTTGGATAGAATGAAATATGTATGCTGCGTCAGCTTCCACCATTGTTTATCAGTACAAATCCTATCCATAATCACTATCCATATGTTTATATTTATCAAAAATATTCATGTTTAGAGTATGACACTGTCAAAATACGACGTTATGTATTGTCAGTCAAATCAGTGTTATGCACATCAGTAATTGATTTATCCAATAACATGACTTTTGATTAAGAAGTCTGATGGGTTTATTTGTTCATCATAGATTGTGTTATATATTCAACCAATAATACCAATCCGTCTTATACAAAATGCTGATATCAGTATAATGTTTGTTTTTGACATTTGAATTCTTTGTTATTTATTAAACACTTTCTAATCTTATGTCATGATTTTCTTCAGTCAATTAAATTCAGAGCCCTCTAACAACTGAACGAGGTTAAAACAACTTTAGCTTCAATTATAATAAAATTATTGTGACAGAGTGCGAAACAATAATTCTGTAGATGTATTATATTTAGAACCAATAATTTTTTCTTTTAAAGACTACTTTAGTTATAATTAATATGCCTATGAAACACATTATAGGATTTGATAACCAAGATATTTTCAACTATTTAACCTATTTGATCTCACCTCTTTATATACATCTTAATACGTCACTGATAATTTTAATTAAGATGCTTTTTGATAATTAGATACTGTTTCAATCTTAACAATGTTTATGACACTGATAAATAAGTGAAAAATTCATCCTGACAAGTATCCAGTTAACTTTTTATCATATTCATTCTATATTCATTCTGTAATTGAATAAATTTTGAATATATGAAAGTATTTACTCTAAGATGAGTTCACATCCTCTGACTGCGTTTAAGTACCTTAGAACATTTCTGTTTTTCGTCTTACTGTGGAATACGTTTGTTGATCACATTTATATCTTACTAATATATATATATATATATTCTTCAAACTGTTGTCGTACTAAGAATGTGGTCGATTAAAGCATTTGTAAATGAACGAAACTATGTTTCCGATTAGCTTCAATACATAAAATTTATGAACTTTGGCAAGATATTCATATATTGATTGTTTTATTAAATTAACATATTAATAAGATAAACGTATTTTCTTAATTTCCATTGTGCTGTTTATTTACTTAGAGATTATCATTCTAATCTAATAAACTGAGATTTAAATTGTATTCATATGTTTTTCACTCATTAAAATGCGTCTGAAGGAAATATTCATGGTTTGTATCGAATTCTGAATATGGTTATGATATATATGTCATGCATAACAACGACATTAAATTTCAATTCTGATCCATTTATGATTAATGAGTGGCTGAAATAGACAACTTCCAGTGATCGTTGAAACTGAATGATATCTAGCAGTATTGGATGATTGACAATTGACATTAGTTGGAACTGTAGACCACATGATTTCTACTCAATTTACTGAGTGTTTGCTTACTACATAACCATTATGTCAGTTTCTACGACGATCATAAGTGCACATTGTTTCAGAGGCTAAAACTAAGGCAAAGCAGCTTTTCAGTATTAAATCGCTTTTAATTTATCCCCAGGATATATTAGTTAACTCACGAGGGTAACAACCATATTCATCTATGAGTAAGATCATGCCAATTTATTACATCACTTATAATGAGTACCATTAGATTAAACTGGTGTGACAAATGCAGAAATATGTATACAAATGCATTTAATTTTATATAAGTTCTGTGATACCATATTTCTGTCTAATTACATTGTGTTTATTATTAAAATCTATGCTGTCTGTGAATTCTATTCTTTCTACAAAATAAGTTTGTTTAAGTAAAATTAACATTCCTACGTTTGATTGTTTTTCTAAAATTAAAAGTGTCTGTGTTCAATTACATATAATTTCATATACACGTCGTTATGTTTATTTAATCGATTTATTCAGAGTAGACATACATCAGAGAATAAATGAAATGAAATAGACTCATTCATTTTTTGTATAAGTTATTTCTCGGTTCACTTAGAATTTTTAGAATTCTTGTTGTACAAGTGCGTTCCTTATGCATAACCAACACTATTATTATTTTCTCTCTTAATATTGATTTGACTCACATATATGCTATATGAGTTTAAAGTCTGTTTCAACATTTTTAAAAATTTAAGTCCATCGTGTAGTAATGATTAAACTATTGCACAATAAACAGAAATTAATTAGTTACTAAAATGTTTATGGTACTTAACTGTCCTGAAAAATAACATTATCACAGCAACTGGGAATGAAATGTTAGCTATTAAAATAACTTTCATCTAAATATAATTTTTAGTACAGTCTATTCTATTCGATTAAATAAACAGTAAAACACCATTCACAGTGAAGTATATATCTGTCCGTCAGTCAATCAAAGATAACATAATGTTTGACACGAATGTGTATCTGTCTGATTTCCAAAATAGAAAATATCAACTACAGTGGACACTCAAAAGTAAAGAACGTGGTTGAACCAGAACAAACTGGATAGTGATAGATACAAAATGAATAAAAGCTCAAGATTTAGAGTAAAATAACGAAAGAATACAACTTTTTCAATGTGATCAATGGTAAAATAACAAAGGATCTTTATCCAATATTAACATAAGTAACAAACGTAATGAGATTTTGAAGATATTAATTTATTAAGCTAGTCAATTGATGGAACTGCATCTTATCGACAAATTTCTAACTATTTCTATATTGAAGAATATATCACTGAGAGGTTTTTTACTTCTAAACAAAACAGTTAGGAATGATGAAGTATTATATCATATTTCATTGTTAATTCACTATAGCTTTAAAAATCTGTATTGTAATTCTTGTTTCTGATCAATGTGAATCATTGAAACAGTATACCAGCAGATATTGCATCAATACATTTTCTTGTTTTATAATCAGACTTTAATGAAAATGTATCATACATATGATATGAATGATTTAAATTTTAAGTTTATGGTTATCAGTAAAATATGTTTTTCAAGTTGAGAAGGTGAAACATTATTAAGAACAGGTATAAAATTACCACATAACGATGTATTATACAACTGAGTGGTATATAGTATTTTCTTTACGTCTTTCCGCAAGTTATAATTATATTTACCTAAAATCAAAATAAACAGAAAAACACTACACATCATTTTGGCATATCTTTTGAGGCTATAGAAAGCATAATAGAACTAAAATAGATATATATGCACCAACTCAATTTTTATTGATAGATTATAAGCTACATCTTTATGAAAGTATAAGTTTATCAAGAATACATATGAAAGCAATAATTTATTGAAGGAAACACTGATATTGAAAACACGTATTTGTCAGTTGTATTAATTGTTATTTGC